AGTTGAAATTCCTATTTTCCTTAATTGTGGTCTTTTGTCCTTACAGACTCAAAATATCCATACATCGATAACTCGAGCTCTTTTTCAATTTCTGTCACAGGCGTGAGCTGACCACTCAGTGTATTTGCACCCCGTTTACAACGTCAAATCTCCGAGAAGTTTCCAATGGTCAGAGTAAAAAAATTTCAGATGTAGGACTTCCTTTAATGGTATGCACCCCTCCTATAGTTCCTGAATTTTTTATTAGTATTTCGTTGAATAACTATTCTATTTCAATAAACTGTTCAGTTGTATATGAATAACTTGTTCAAGTACGATGTGTCCGTCATTTACAATAGCTGACGCGACGCTCAAAGTTTTCTTTAAATTTCATTCTCGTAAGAGTGCTCAGTTCTCGAGAGATTACATAGACCACCTTTACCAGTTCAATGGAAGCTATTTCCTATTCATAGCATAGCATGCGCTCATCCCATCGAATTCCGTTTAAGCCATGATGGTCATAATCGCTCTATCAGATTCTCGGCTTTAGATATTGCACTTCCAGTATTCAGATTGGCTAGCTCAATTCACTCAAGTGATGCAAGCTGAATTTCTTTTCTCTATCATTTCCTTCGCTGGGTTCCACATCGAATGACGATTGAACTCAAACACACTTGAATGCTTGTCCAGGAAATATTGTACCTCGTCTCGTCCTCTGAGAAATTATTGGACTTTTAAATTGTTCCAGTCGTATAGCAATACCTATGTCATTTGTTTATAACCAGTTTACACAGTCGGCCGGAAGAAGTATTTACTCCCGATTGTCTTAATTAAGCAAACACTGAGAGCGTAAACAAAGTAGATAAGCTAGCACAGCATTATTTACGAGTGGTTAATTTTGACCAGGATTTCGACTTCCGTGGAAAGAGCTTTGCCGCCGTTAGATTTAACAGGCTCTCCATCTTAGGTCGCAGAACGTTGCCGACAGTGAAAACGATCCTATCAGTATTGCAAGCTCCGGGCCGGTCAATGCCGAGGAGGATGATGTATTTAAAGTGTGCCTTCGAAAGCTGGTTTCTCATTTTTGAGCCGAGGACACAGCGTGTCATTTGATCGACATGTTTTTCGTCAACTTGTGCCGACACAGGGGGAAACTGCTCACAAATTCATGGTTCGCCTTCGTAAACAAGCCCATAGTTGCAATTTCGGCGAAGCCTTGAACGAAAACCTGCGAGACCAACTGATTGAGAAGCTGCCTGATTTCCAGTTAAGGAAAAAGCTGCTGGAAGTCAAGAATATTTCTTTCAAAGCTGCACTGGATAAAGTTCGAAAGTGGGAAGCCTTTCGAGAACTCAGGTGAGGATGACAGATTTGCTTTTCCTGTAGAATTTCAGGCATGTGCTCTGTCGACGAGAGCTGAGCCGGTGATCTCTGTGAGCATTAGCAGAGTTGATTGATTCAGGTTTGCAAGCAACCTAGTTAGCATGGGTAGTTTAAAAGAACCAAAATATTAGGAGCTAAAGACTACGTTACCACCATGCACAAAGAAGTTCTATGCTTATGGGAACCGAAGTTGAAGTTTAAGTGAGAAGTTTCTGTTATCAAAATAAATCATGGGTTGTGGCAGATTTTCTTGCAGTCAAAACAGGACGTTTTTTGTTAGGATACCCAACCGCCACAGACCTTGGAATCCTCCCATGTGGGTCCAGCAGATACTTTCAATACAGGAAACGGTAAAACTGTCAGTGACACTTGTCGGAGAATTCAAAGCAAAATGTCCCAGTGTTTTTCAAGGAATCGGGACACTAAAGAATTATCAGCTGAAACTACGTAATGGTTCCATTGTAACCCCAGTGGTTCAGTAGATGCGACGAGTATTCTTTTACTAACAGACCGAGAGACTACCAAGACTGATAAACGGTTGATGGGCCTACAACATGGGTTAGTCCCGTTGTTAATGTCCCGAAAGCGTCAGGAGACATAAGGTTATAAGTTGATATGCGAAGGGCTAACGAAAAAATGGCTCAGTACACGCGGCTAATCGGCAGAAAAACGAACGTGAGCACAAGAAGTGCGAAGCAGAAGAGCAGAGAATTCGGCAATAGGAAATGGCGCAGTTTGAAAGGGAAATAGCGATCTTAGGAGCAGACAAAAAGGTCGCGGTGGCGGACGCCAAGCTTAAAGTTTTCGAAAAGGCCCTCCGGGAAGAACAGCTAGGCAAAGTTTTAGAATTACCAGACTTAGAAATCCCCAAAATAAAATCATCTGAACAAATAAAGACTCTCCAGGGAATCTATAGGAAGGTTGTTACTTTTACCCTAGCGTCAAACAACACCGTCTGGTGAGTCGTACGTATAAATTCGACCGGGTGCACTTCGATATTTGAATTCCGTAGTAAGGACAAAGGGATTACACGTACCTACAAAGCGATTAAGCCAGAATGGTTGGTAAAACGGAGCGTTTCTCGGATTGATGCAGCGGAATTTGGAAACTTTTGCCGCTGTAACGGGTAGCCAATAGCTAAGCGCTCTCGCAGGTGGAAATTTGACGGAGATCGGTCGACTCTTGTGGAGTTTATCGGCTTTCGAGTGGCGACGGTTGGTGTTGGCTACCGCGGTTGAAGTTTCCAGCCCCGAATTGTTCCATATAAAGTTCACTGGTAACATCAAACGCGTTACAAAGAAAGTGGCCAAAATAGCGTGAAAAGGACCGCAAACGACAAAGTAGCTACATGACAAAGGTAAGGAGACTTCATATGATATATTCCTCGCTTTCATTATCATTTTTTGTTTTTTCTTAATTTTTTTTTTATAATTTTTCTTTTTATACAGTTGACTGGTGACGCTGCATGCGTTACAAAGAAAGTCGCCAAAACAGCATTAAAACGACCGTTGGCAACAAAGCGGCTACAGAAAAAAAGTAAGGAGAATTCTCATGCTTTATTCCTCGTTTTTATTATCCTTTTTAATTTTTGCTTAATTCTTTTATAATTTTTCTTTTCTTTAATGGCCCACGCTTACGCTTAAAATTCGATCTTATTATGTTAGGTATTGCCGTTTCTGAGCTTTGGACCCCAAAATCACACATAGTAGGCTTGGGCCGCCTGTGGACAAACAAAGCCCCAGTTGCGCAATACTCCCAAACCGAGTACGTCGAAGAAAACAGACCCTCTTCCTAAAGCTCACATTCAGAGTCCGGATCTACCACAACAGCAATTCACAAATGAGGACCATATAGCGCAACAAACACTGTCCTCGATCGGCAACCACTTATATCTTCAACCCCTTTGAAAGATATTACAGGAAACCAGCTGATTGACTCTCTTACCGTCGTCAATCAACAGATGGTCGCAGGCCTAGCTAGCTAGATAAAATCTTCCTATGTGTCAACTTGACGTATTTTTGGGGGACCCTACTCTCTTCCGTCCTTGGAAAACTGCCTTCAAAACAATGCTAACGAACACTGATGTCTCCCCAACTCAGAAAATAAACTATTTAAGGAGTTTCACTATCGGAGCGCCTCAACGCTTAGTTGGTATTTACCGGAAGCGGCACATACGTGACCCAGTTGCGTTACTAAGGAAACTGTGGGAGGAACTTGAAAGGCGTTTTGGAAGCGTCGCCGCAATCAATAACGCATTGTTAGAGCACTTAAGTAACACAGCGACGTTTGGTGAGCAAGAGTACGACAACCTGTAGCCGTTGGCAGACTTTTGCGTAGATATTGAGAGCCAACTGTCTTACCTCTCCGGACTTATGTGCCTCAATTACCCGAACGGTATCCAACCTATAACCGAGAAGTTACCGCGATTTATCCGCGCCAAATGGGAGAAGGAAATTACTTATTATTCCTACAGCAATGGCGGAGCATTTCCGTATCGAGTGGATTAAACAAGTACGCCTATGCATTCGCTGTTTCAGCCCCCACCACATCGCAAGCCGGTGTAGCACGCCCCTACAGTGCACTATCCGTGGGAGCAAGCGTCACAGTGCCATACTTCATAGGGAGAAGCAGCCATCGCCTAAACCGGAGGATGCAACCGTCAACCCAAAATGTACCATACTCTGTGGACCCACAGGAAGTATGTCATACAACAAAACTTTGTCGGTGGACGTCTATAACGAGCGTAACCCGCACCTCATCAAGCGCGTCTACGCCATCATTGATGAACAGCGCAACAGCTCTCTCGTCACCAGCAAGCTAGCCAACGAACTCGTAGCAGAAGAACCGTTGGAGAAATACGTCTCGTCTACGTGTAGTGGCGAAAGAGAAGAGAACTAGGGCCGACGGGTGGCGAGAATCACGGTTCGGTTACTCGAAGGGGTGGTGTTCACCTTGCCGACCCTCACCGAGTGCAATACCATCCCACAAGACAAGTGCAAAATCCCAACTCCAGACATTGCGAGGAGTCTCCCGCACCTGAAAGCCATTGCGCACGAGATACCTCCCTTAGATGAGATAGCCAAGATCCACATACTACCGGGCCGAGACGCGCCAGAGCTGTTAAATATCAGGGAATTCAAGAATGGCCCGAGAGGAACCCACTGAGAGCAGCAACTTCGGCTGGACCATCAGCGGTAAGATGTGCCGTGACTTCGCAAGTGGTCCAGCACACGTCCACACTTGCCTCACTAGCCTGTCCACTGCTATGGAGGAAAAACTGGAGACCTCTGGAGACAGAAGTTATGAACTAACACCTTGCCCTAAATAATTCAAGGTTACACAACCCCTTTTGAAGCGCGTTGCAAAAGGCATCTTTAGGACGACACGAGGCGACAAAGAGTCTGGTCTCTCCTGCGAGGACCCTAAGTTCTTAGCAATAATGAATAAGGGTATATACAAGAACCTGAGCGGAAATTGGGAGCCCTTATCGTTTCGCAATGAACGTCAAACCATGCCGAATAACCACATTCAAGCTACGCAGCCGTTACAAGGGCTCCTGATGACCTTCGCCAGGAAACTTAAAATGAAAGCAGACTATCTGGAGTCCATGGGTAGAATAATTGATAACGGCCGCGCCTCAGCTGTCCCAAGTAGAGAAGAATGGCCACTCCCCGGCCCTTCCTGGTACTTAACGCATTTTGTAGTTTATTACAGCACAAAGCACACCATTTGCGTCGTATTCGATTTCAGTTGCGAGTCCGACGGAGTCCCCTTGAACAAAGTACTCCTACCTGGTTCTGACCTGATGAACAACCTCACTGGAGTCCTCATGCGCTTTCGAAAGGATATTGTAGCTGTAATGTGCGACGTGGAGCAAATGTTCCATTCGTTCTATGTCTACCCGCCACATAGAGACGCCCTTCGTTTTTTATATTTCGAAGGTAACGACCCGTCAAAGCGTATTAGAGAATATCTGATGAATGTCCATCTCTTTGGCAATGGGCCCAGTCCCGCGGTCGCTACCTATGGGCTACGCAGGACAGCTCTCGACGGCGAGGAGGAGTACAGCGAGGAAGCTAAGAGATGAATGATGATGGTTTGGCCTCGCTTTCACATAACCAAGGAGCGATAGATCTACTCAAGAGTGCACAAGCCACCCTTGCCACTGCTAACCTTCGATTGCACAAAGTGGTTTGCAGTAAATGGTTTGAACCCGGGGGTGACATGTAAAAGTGTAGTGTGATCGTCCGTGTAAAAAGATTGGTCAGTTTTGCTGTTATTGGCTGTACGACTCAAGTGGGGTAGGTCGGTCGTGATTGGTCTTTTTCGATCAGTCGGTAAAGTTAGGTAATTCTGTTCGGTTTGTTTGTAATGTTAATGTCATGACTGAGTCATTTGTATGTAGCTGGTAGTATTTGACGCCTATTCAGCGGAGTCTGTTCTAAGTTAGTAAAGCAGCTTTCCAGAGTCAGTCGTTGAAAGTACTTAGTGCTGTAGGTTATTAGTCATTGCGCAATCATTTCACGCGAACTGGACTAATAACATTCTACTGACAACAACTATTCACTTGACTCTGATGATGACTCCCGCACGGGTTATCGAGACCTCAATCACCATCATCGACAACAGACCTTCTCAGGACTACACTCACCCGAACGATCACACTACACTTTCACACAAAGTGGTTTCTGACTCAGTGGAAATCATGGGGGTCCTGTAGTGTCTAAAAATGAAAAGCACGCCACAAAAGGCAGCCACGAAGGCGAACAACTACAGCACACACAGCACACGTTTCTTTAATAATCTTTCCGCGCTCACACTTCCCCGGATGTATACTTTTACATATGCAACCGCTGCTCTGGTACACCACATTCCCTCTCTTTCTTCGCTTAGATAGTTGACCTCGAAAGACAAACATTACAAACTTCCAGTTTGTTTAGACACCGCAAAAGTTCAGTTGAAATTCAAATGTTCAATACGAAAGTCACGCTAAACATAAACATAGCCTTTGCCGTTCGGCTCATAAAACAACGTTTCAATGTCACTCATGTAATAACAACGAACAGTAATATGAAAATGCCAATGTCACTAGTTTTAGTACAGAACGTAGTCACTCAGAGCCATCGGACGGCTCGTAATTCTACCGGATCTTCTCACATGCTGCTCAGCTGTATGTACAGTAGAAGGTACATCTTCTGTTAGTGATTCAGCCATTGGTACTTGATCCTCTGCCATAGGTGGCGTCTCGAATGGCTTAGGTTCAGACTGTGGTTCAGCACCCTGTAGCGGCGTTTCCTGTTCTTCTACATCTGGTTTTTCCGAAAGGCTTAATACGCTGAAGGTTGCGTTTGTTCCGGACACCTTAAGGCGATCGCAACACCACCTGGTCCCAATAACGAGATATCACCTGATATGGTTCCTTCTCATAGCAAGGTGACAGCTTATGTTCTTTCATCTTCTCAAGCAGAACACTGTCTCCTCTCACATTTCGATCTTTGGCATGGAACTTCTTGTCCACATAGTCCTTGTTAAACTGCTTTCTCTGATTGTCCCGATCACGAACGGCTTGGTCGCTCACTTTTGCCTTCTCCTCTTCAACTTTGACTGACTCAGGCATTTTAGTTGTTAGCTTTCTCCTAAACAGTAACTCGGCAGGACTCTTTCCTGTGGTTGAATGTGGCGTGGACATGTACGCCAAAAGGAACCTGTTTAGCTCTACTCTCCAATTCCTTCCTTCTGCATGGGCTGCTCTCATGGACTTCAGAAGCGACCTGTTCTGCCTCTCTACCTCACCATTAGCTCTTCGCCATAGAGGTTTTGTTTAACGGTGTTCGATCCCCATTTCATTCAGGTATCTTCTACTTCTTTAGAGACAAGATTTGAGCCATTGTCAGTACGCGGACCTATAGGCAACCCATGTCTTGCAAATTGGGCATCCAAGAAATGACTGATGGTTTTGCTGAAAGTTGTTCGAATAAAATCAACTTCTATCCACCGGCGGCAATAATCAATGAGAACTAACAAATGTTCTCCCGGAGGTAACGGACCCATTAGATCCACAGCTACTTCTTCCCATTGTTGGTTGACTAATGCTGTTGACTTTAATGGTGAGGGTGGAACGTTCTTGGTAACCATCTGGCACCCGTAACATTCACATCTTTTCTCGGCATCACGATCCATAGCAGCCCACCAGACCTTTGTTCTAGGTCTCTCCTTTGTCTTTATGACTCCTTGGTGACCCTCGTTTGCCAAACGGACGACTCTCTTGCGAAGTGCTTGGGGTATAACAATTCTTGTCCCCCGGAGAATTATCTGCCCAATAACAGTCAACTCATTGCGCACTGGCAAGTACTGCTCTGCGGCATTGTCCCATTTCCCTTCGATGAGGCAATTCCTGAGTGCTTGCAGCTCAGAGTTTTGTGCTGAGACTTGTTCAATCTCTTTGATTCTCATTGCAGCAGGGACAACATGTAGAGCTATCATGCGTGCATATCCATCATCTTCCACGGACTTGTCTGAAGCAGGTATCTTCTTCAGTCGGGAAAGGGCATCTGCGATGCTTTTTCTTGAAGGCATATAGCAAACTTAATAGTTGTACAGTTGTAAACGCAGAACCCAGCGCTCTATTCTGGCTGAAGGTTTAGACTTCCTTGAATAGATGACTTTAAGTGCTTCATGGTCTGTCACTAGATCAAACTGTGGAAGCCCGTAAAAGTAGAGGTGAAAGCGTTCACACGCCCAGACTAGGCTAGTGCTTTCTTTTCTGTCTGACTATAACGACGCTCCACTTGACTCAAACTAAGACTAACATAACAGAGGGCACGGCTTTTCCCATCTTTTTCTTGCACCAGCACGGCCCCAGACACAACAGGACCTGCATCAGCAATAACACGGGTGGGTGTGTCCTTATCTAAGTAAGCTAGGACTGGTGCACTTGCAACTTGACTCTTTAATCTCTGAAATGACTCCTCCTACTCCTTGCCCCACACGGAAGGTTCTCCTTTTCTTGCAAGTGGAAGCCAAATCAGGTATAAACCTGACACTGTATCCAATGAGCCCTAAGAAGCTACGGACTTCTGAAGGTGTCTGAGGCTGACTTCGCTCTGCAACGGCTCTGACCTTTTCCTTCGTTGGGCCGCTACCATGCTTGCTAAGCAAAAGACCCATGAATACCACTTTAGTCATTCGGAAAGTGCATTTTTCAGCATTCAAAGTCAGCCGCTTCTCACTAAGACGTTGCAACACACTGTGTAAGTTCTTATCATGTTCCTCAGGATCAGTGTCTCGACCATGAACGATAAGATCATCTGCTATGTTTGACACCCGTATATGCCTGCCATTGACTGGGTGATGATATGCTGGTACTTTTCTGGTACGGAATTTACAACATAACTCAAACGCTTCTAACGGAATATACCATCATGGGTGGCAAAAACAGTGATATCCCTTGATTCAGGTTCCAGCACAATTTGGTGAAAATCCCACCGTAATCTAACTTCGTGAAAACACTACTCTCATCAAGACTTTCAAGGAGTTCATCTATGGTTGGTATGGGCAATCTTTCCCGAAGAATGGCCTCGTTGGCTCTTCGCATATCGACACATAACCTTATTTCCCCGGACGGTTTAAGAGCAACAACGACTGGGCCTACCCCCACCGTAGGCCCCTCAACTTTCACAATTATGTCCTTTTCAAGGAGTTCGTTAACTCTGAAAGTTACTTTGTCCTTTACAGAAAAAGAGACTCGTCGTATTTTTTGAACGACTGGAGTTACACTGGGGTCAAGGTGTAGCTTCAACTGATAATCTTTAAGCTTTCAATTCCCTGGAACACCCTGTGATATTTTTCTTTGAGTTCTCCCACAAAGGTATCATCAACAGTGTTACAGTCTACTGTCCCGAGGGTTCCCGAGAGATCCACACGAAAGATTCCAAGATCTGTCGCGGAAGAATATCCCAGCAAACAACGCCCAGATTCAACAACATTGAAATCTGCCACGACCTTTGCTTTGGGTACGGAAACTTCTGTCTGAAACTGGCCCTTAATTTTAAGCTCTCGACCCCCATACGCATACAATCTCTTCATACAATCTTAAGCCCCTGATACTTAAGTTCCTGCAGTGTATCTTTACTGATGAGGTTACTTGCAGAACCTGAGTCAATCAGCACATCTCTGCTGATTCCACCAATTTTCACTGAGATAACGGGCTCAGCGGAATTTGACATAGCGCATGACTGTTCTTCTATATTAAAAGCCAAACTGTCATCCTCACCTGACTCCTTACAATGACCCTCGACATGATTGGCCTGTTTCCCCTTACCATGACGCTGCTGCCTGCTTCCCCGTTGTTGGGTGTTACCTTGTTTTTACCCAGGCCTCAAGTTCCTTCCCCCTTTGCAACAGCTCCCATAATGACTATATTTACCACTTGCTACACTTGCGACCTCGGGCTGGACAATTTTTACTTTGGGCAAAATGACCTTCTTTACCACAGTTTAAACAACTGCTTTTCCCTTTGTCTCCACGCCCATAACGTTCTTTAACTGCATGAGTACCTGCTCCAGGTTCTTGGCTTGGCGTCACCATTTGACTTGCCTGCTCGCGTGAGGCTTCCCACTTTTGAACTTTATCCACTGCTGCCTCCAGAGTAATATTAACGACTTCTAATAGCTTCTTCTTTAGCTCAACATAAGGCAACTTTTCAATTAATTGATCCCACAAATTTTCCTCCAAAGTTGGACCAAAATTACAATGACGAGCTTGTTTACGTAAACGAACCATGAACATATCGGTGGTCTCTCCCTTTGTCGGCGTAAGCTGACGAAATACATGACTCTCGTACGGTACATTGTCCTCGGCTCGAAAATGAGCATCCAACTTTCGCACAAATAGCACATACTCATTATCCTCGTCAGCATTCAGTGCTCCAGGATCTGGGATATCTACGTAAATATCTTGCACTTCCATACCTGCTAAATGAATTAACTGAACTGTTTTCCGAGAAGGATTCGTGATTCCCTTGCCATCGGTGTAATACTGATACGATCGTTTCCAGTGTCGCCATCGCGACCTGGGAGGCGAACAACTACAGTACACACAGTACACGTTTCTTTAATAATCTTCCCGCGCTCACACTTCCCCGAGTGTATACTTTTACATACGCAACCGCTGTCCTAGTATACTACAGGCCCTCCCCACGGAAGACCAAGCAAAAGATGTGCGTGACCTTGACTTACGTCACGACCGTTTACCAGCTCGACGTTCGCTTGGAGTTTTCTGGCACCTGGAGACTGACGTCTTTACATTTAAAGTATCTCTACCAGAGAAGCGGTTCATGAGGAGAGGAGTCTTGTCCATTGTCAAATTTGCGTACGACTCGCTTGGTTTTGCAGTGCCTGATATGCTCGAAGGGAGAAAAATACTGTAGCAACTTGTACTTATGGGAGAGTGGACAAAGGAGAACAATAACCCCTTGCCTCGGACGATCCTCTCCCCACTACAATGATGAACCGGTGGCTGCATTGAAGAGACTCTCTTGCATAGTCACAGAGTCTGTCTGTGCCCCACTGCTACCACCCAAAAGACTCCGGTAGCGTGACTAGAGCTGAACTACACGCCTTTATAGGAGCCGCAGTTCTACTTCCCTCAGTTCAACGAAGCAATCGGTGTGTCCACGGCTCTCGTTTACGGCCAAGCCAGAGTTGCTCCAGTGAATCCAACAGACATGCCGCGACTGGAACTGTGCGGAACGGCGCTAACAGCTCAAGCAGCCCAGAAAGTTATTTCAGAAATCGATCTGGAGATTTCCAAAGTGACATACTACACCGACTCAAAGGTAGTATTGGCCTACATTACAAATGAAAGTCATCGATTCTATGTATACGTAGCCAACCGAGTTCAGCTGATTAAGAGTATATCTATCCCTGAACAATGGAGATACGTAGAGACTGATTTGAACCCAGCGGACCCAGCCATCCGCGGAGTTCCCGCAAGCAAGCTAATATGAAGACGAACTGCCTCGTAGGCCCAGAGCTTCTTTATAAACCGGAAATAAGTCTTCCATTCAATGAAACATTAGCACTCAGTGCAAACGATTCTGAAGTCCACAGAGGAGCGTTCAGCACTGGAGTAAATACGAAAAGAGATAAAGGACTATACCTTGGAGCTGAAAGATTCCAGAATTCCTCTTCACTAAAGTTTCTGCAGCAAGCCGTCGCCAAATTAGCCGTTGCCAAATTAGCCGTCGCCAAATTAGCCGTCGCCAAATTAGAGCTTTAGAAACATTTCATAAGTCATTGTCAGCGACTTGGGCAGTTTTTGTAACTTTTGAAAACACGCGTGATATTAATGCTTGATTTCACTTAGCCCCATTCGGTTACCTGTACAAAGTGGGACTATAAATATTATGCAAGGTATTCCATGCATATTATGGTTCTCCGACATGGCAAATGTATTTAAGCAGCTCGTCTACAAATTGAAAAAAAAAATTTGTTCGTTGCAGTTATGGAAAGTTTTCGGTAACTTAATATCTCTCACGGTCTTCATGTGACATCGTTCTAGGTATGTCCCTCCTCAACAGAATCTAAGCTGCATGATGCTTGATTTGGCACAGAACTACAACGGTGATAATATATTCCACAGCAAGATGAAAATTTGTTAAAATGTTTCTAGAAAATACTTTACCATTCATAATCAGTAAACACACATGTTACTGGTAAAGAGGCTTAATCTCGTTCAATCGTTCAATTGGCTGATATATACTTACAGTTCAGTTAAGCTGGTCAGGTATTCAAATATTCCCTCCGGCAACGTTCGAAGCTCGTTGTTCTTGATGTCACTAAATTTGGGAAGAAAACATTTACTTCCTCAAACTGAAGCAATTTGTAATCTCTTCTTCACTGCGTAATGACCAGATGGATATAGCTTTTGCTATATCCATCTGGTCATTACCCGAATGCATTTCTTTCTTGTATCATTCTCTTACCTATTGTCAAGCCTGAGTAAAAATAGCATCATTTCCAAAAGTAATATTGAGACTCTAGTTTTACAAAATAGGACTTTCCCGACTTCATTTGACCAAAATCATGCCTCTTTTGGGAATTTAACATGTCGGCCGGAAGAACATCCCAAAATTAGTTTCTATAGAACTCCATCCACAATAATCAGCAAAATATATATTACATTGTGACCTGTCGTTGAGACAGGTAACCCGGAGAACTTCTGGAAGGTAAAGCAGCTCTAGGTGAAAAAGGGCCGTTTAAATGTTGTAAGACTCGTGACTACGATTTCGAAAAGAAGGAAAACCCTGCATGCTCAAATGTCTAGGTTACAAGACAGTTTGTCGCCAGAGAACACCATATTTTGGTTGATTTAAGGGAAAAGACGAGATAGGCAGACACAGGATTCTTTTGAAGGTTCTTTATGTGATGGAATCTCTACATAAATTGATCAGCACAATGACTTATAATCTTCCGCTGTTTACGCGGAACGCGGGCTTATACTAGATCAGGTGGCTTAAAACCGAAACGCTCGTAACCTTCCGGTTTGTTGCTGTTTTATTTCCATCTCCAGAAATTTTGGGAGATACGTGACCAGCCGGAACCAGGTACTTTCTCGAGGGGGGAATAGAGACGATTCTGGGTCCTGGAAACGAAATTTGTC